AGCAGAGACATCACCCTGCCAACAAAAGTGCGTATAGTCAAGGCTATGGTTTTCCCAGTTGCAATGTATGGCTGTGAAAGCTGGACCATAAGGAAGGTTGAGCGCTGAAGAATTGAGGCCTTTGAATTGTGGTGCTGGCGGAGACTCCTGCGAGTCCCTTGGACTGCAAGGCGATCAAACCGGTCAGTCCTAGAGGAGATCAACCCTGACTGCTCTTTAGAAGGCCGGATCCTGAAGATGAAACTCAAATACTTTGGCCACCTAATGAGATGGAAGGACTCCCTGGAGAAGAGTCTAACGCTGGGAACAATAGATGACAAAAGAAGAAGAGGATGGCAGAGGATGAGGTGGCTGGATGGAGTCACTGAAGCAGTTGGTATGAGCTTGAGTGGACTCCGGGGGATGGTGGAGGACAGGAAGACCTAGAGGAATGTTGTCCATGGGGTTGCGATGGGTTGGACATGACTTCGCGGCTAACAACAACAACATTTACCCACAGATAAATGTGTTCAGGATATGAACCTAAGTGTGGATTCACTGGGACTTACTCATGAGTAAATCTGTATAGCGTTGCACTCTAAATCCATAACCACAATATTCAAAACTATTACAAGAGCAATCCCACTTACTTTCAGAGAATGTATCATGGGACAGGCTGATAGTTTACTCATTTATTATATACTGCAGAATATAATAAATGGGTAAAGGGTTTATGAGAGGCTACTTTCATAAAGAGTTTGGAGTCTCTTGAGAAAGGGTTTGCATCTTTTTTCCTGTAATCAAATAATTATTCTGGGATTTCAGACAGGTAGCGAAGATCTGTACATTTTTAAGTTAATAAAGAAGGAAACCCACAAAGGACCAACAATGACATTCTAGAAGTGTTAGCCAAAAAACACAGATCTGAATAGGGTTTAAAAATAGAAGACAGAGGCATAATAGTCCACAGAAAGAGAAGCAAAGTGGTAGTTACACCTCAGTGCAAGCTCCTCTATTCATTCCAGTAATGGCAGTTTAACATAATAGAAAATCTTTATACTCTGTATTAGGACCACTGCATAGTACTTTCAGCATCTCCATCATTTATCTTCAAAAAAAATTCAAAACACAGAAACCCTTAGCAAAGTATTTGGTTATTTTAAGATATACTGAATTACATCTGTCTGATGCAATAAAGGATAATCTGAAGGTGGAGACTCGATCATTCTCATTGTTGTGGATCAATGTATTTTGTTGGAGTAGTTGTACCAAAATGTCAAATCACATTAAGAGCTTTAGAAAATATAGTGACCCCAATTCGGACAAAGTTAGTTTGTGCTTCACTCCCACTGAAGTCAGTAAGTTAAGTTAGCTGTGAGAAATGTACAATCCATTAATTTCAATGGGACTTTAGTGAGACTAACTTTTTTTGTATTTTGGTCATTATGCCTCCTGAGAAGCCTCTCCGAGAGTCAGGAAACACCCCAGAAATAAGGATTCAATGTGCTTGAGAAGCTGCATCCAGAAGGGGAAATCATGAACACATACATCCACATGTTCCCTGTGCATGTATGGAAGCACTTAAGGCAGAGGAAAGGAGCTAAATGAATTCCAGTCATTGTGTGGACATGAAACTGACAATCTGACAACTCTGAAGATCAGAATTAATTTTTACATTGCATTTAGATCCCACTTTTTCCCCTCTTGTGAGAAATCCAAAGTGGCTTACATACTCTTCCTTCTTATCCTCACAACACCCCTGTGAGGTAGGTTAGGGTGAGAGTGAGTGGTCCAAAGTCACCCAGTGAGCTTCATGGCTGAGTGAGGACAGGAACCTGAACCTCCCCTGTCCCAGCCCAACACTCAAACGACCACTTCATGATTTCAAAGCTGAGAGCTTGAATTTATTCTGTTGCATTCAGGACTTAAGTCTTAAGAATACTCAGAACCTTACACAGTTGAGGCAGGATGTGGGATACTTTTCAACAGTAGTATGCAAATAGTAGTAACATTCATTCCTAAGTGTTACTGGAAGTCATCTTCAAAGTAACATCTTCTTTACATGTATGGGTACGTAGGTGGGTATATAGTACTTGTGAGTATATATAAATGTTCATTTAGGGATACATAGATTTGATGCACACACTTTGGAGCTAATTACTTTCACCAGCACACTTTTATTCAGAGCTCATTGCCACTTCCCTTTCCTGAATACACTCTGCCAACAACCTGGCAAGTCTTCCCACAACGCTTCTGCTACTTACAGGTGTAAAAGTGAACAACATGTTTAGGAGTGATGATCACATAACTGTACAATGAACTCAAGGAATACAAGTAAAGGGGCATGTTTCAATTCCTGATGGACATGCTACATGCTTTGTGCTGTCATATTCAGTAACCATTTATCCCAGTTGTAAAAATCTTTGAATCAAAGCATTTTTTAAAAAATCAACATGTTCTAAGGAAAACATAAATGTGATTAAATACCGAATTAGTCATCAGGACACTAGAAACTTAATTTTGTTAACTTAAAGTGGAATTCCAAGCATCCTAAAGATCATTAATATGCAAGGAATAGAAAAGTGGCTTGGGTGTTGTCTATGTACTGGTGGATCCTCACTCATCCTACCAAGCACACAAGGAATTTGGTTTCAATTGCAAATGTAGGTACTATGTTTGTATCTGCAGCATTTTCACACATAGCACCAGAAGTTATTCAGTGTTTTTTTCTGGAAACTTTTTTAGCCAGAGTTGCATGCCAGTGGGCAGACCTGAAGCAAAAGTGGGTGGCAATACCCTCCCTCTCATTCATACCTTCACCAACTCTAACCCTCAGATGTTTTGGGCCACATGTCCCAGCACCAGATTAGGGAATGGGCACCAGATTAGGGAATGTTGACATAGAAACTCAATGCAGCTAGTCAAGCTAAACCTACACTGGCCACAACTACATGTGTGACTGAAAGGCCTTCTATCCTACATTAATAATATCCATACATAGAGCATAAGTGAGGCTCAAAGGATGTATAAAATCCTCTAATTTGAATGCAAAGCTGCTAGCTTAAATGCACACTAGATTTAAAACTGGTTGCCTTCCACTTTCTGTCCTCAATTAATGAAGTCCATCAATGTTGCAAAGGGTACATCAATTACTCCTTAATCAACGACAGGCTTACGATCTGGGAAGCTCAAGGTCTCATTCAGGCATGGCTGTTCATCACTTGCACAACATACATTCAGACATTCAGCTGCAAGTCCCTGATCATGTATCTGTATGCATGTCATTTGATTCTTCTGCATGAAGGCCAATGCACACTGGACAACAGGCTCAGTCTAGACAATGCAGAGCAATGCAAGAGAAGGCACTCTTGGTGTGAAGAAGGGGCAAAGAAGTGGCAGATGGATGTTCAGTCCTTTCCCTGCCAACATTTTTCTTTTGAAATACTTCTTGGCTGCCTTTACACCTTCTACTATTCCTACCAGATTCTTATTTCTCTCACCCAGGATGTGTTGGGAAAACAAAAGATCAGAAAGAAAAATCTCAGGGTAAAGCAGCCCTCGAAGGATGGATTAAGCACCCTGTTCCCTGAGCTTTTTCCAAGAGCGTTTTGCAGCAGAGACGAGGACATCGGGATACTGTTAAACAGAGCTGCATGTAATATGTGGTTTGGCCCAGATTATGTGCACAAAGGTCCAGAACTAGATGCAGTGTGGGAGAGCTGAGATCAGATATTTCTGAACCATTCTCTAAAAGCAGCTGAGAGAGGCCAGATTTGGATTGGGGCCACCCTGGATATGTATGCATGTATGGAGGAGTATCCTTTCCCAACAGAGACTGCCTCCTAAAGCAACTATTAATCATACAAGGTGGGGGGAGGGGGTGACAGGTATATGTATCTTGCCTGTTTCTTCCCCCTCTTTCTTTCTTATGCTCTACAACTAACAGACGCTTGAGGAAGGGTGCTTGCCATCTGCAGAAAAAAAGTGTGTGGATTGGGCAGGTTAAACCGACCCTCCTCAACCTTATGGTCCCAGTAGAATTCTGCTTCCTACCCTGACTGCTTTTAATAAAGAGGAAAAAGAAAGAAAAGATGTGAGAAGTTCATGATGGTGTTATTGGACTCTGGTTCTTCTGGGAAAGCACTATATTTGAGCAAATGTGAAAAATGCAATAATTTCGATGGTATTTTATATTTGATGGAACACTCAAACACAAAAGGCATCCATTGGTGTTGCTGTGGTCAAACAATGATCATGCATCTGAGTATCAGCTCCAAGCACATAGTCACTTAATACTGTCCATGCTGGCTTGTATCAATCTCTGAATGATGGCTGACAAGAAGAATTCTTGTCATCTACTCTTCCAGTGGTAAATTCTAAAATTGTGGGCTGCCCTGCTTAGAGTAAACCCACTGAAAGGAACTGGGCATCTAAAGAATTTAGATCATAACTGGATACAACCCTAGATTTTTATCCTGCCCTTCCTTCAAGAGTTCACAGCAATTGGTACATGTGTCACTTTCCCTACCCCTTTTACAGGCTCATCAACACTGCAAGAAAGGTATATTTGGGAAAATGACACATTAATACGCACACTCCTATACAGGCCTACTCAGGAGCAAGTTCCTTTGAGTTCAGTGGGGTTTACTCCCAGTGGGTAGAAGTGGGTAGAAGATTGCCCCTTAACGATTATTATAGATTAGGATGAGATGGTGACTTGGCCAAAACTTGGAAGAAAAGCAGGTCTTCATAGGCACCCTTAATGATTCCTCCGACACAATCGGCTTTACAGCGCAATTCCAGGTATGTCCCATTGAGTCCAACCAGACTTAATCCATATTCTGGGCCACGTTACCTCGGAAAGCTACGTGTTGTAGGCCTTAACTCCCTCCCCCCCCCCCGCCGTCTAACCGTGCACAGGATCGCTCCCTTAATAACTGCGAGATCCGAAGCGGCGGACGGCACAGCCTGTGCGCGTTAACAAAGTTGCAGCGCGCGTGCTCCCGGCGCAACTCACTCACCACCGCCTGCTGGAAAGCGCCCTTGGTGTAGGTGCCGCCCCCTCGGTAGCCGATGGCCGGGATCTCCCGGCTGAGCAGGGAGCACTTGTGCTGCGGCGGCTGCTGGGCCCAGGCCGGCGGCGAGATGTAGTCCACGCGGGGCACCACGTTGTTCTTGGACGAGAAGGTGACGATGGCGACGCGCGTGGCCGTGGGCACCACCGGGAAGTCGGAGAGCAGTTTCTTGACGAAGCGCAGCTCGCTGAGGAAGTTAGCCTGGCCCACGCTCGACGACTCGTCCACCAGGAAGACCAGCTCCAGCCGGCTGCTCTTCTCGCGCAGCCGCCTCACCTGGCGCTTGAACGCCCGCCCCAGCTTCTCCACGCGGCTCCCCGTCGCGGCGGCGCTGGCCGCCTGCAGCCCCACGGCGGGGCCGGACGACAGCGCCGCCAAGGAGCTCAGGTTGAGGGGGCGATACAGGGCGAGCGGCTCCCGCGCCGCCCAGCCCCACACCAGCGACGCGCCGCCCCACAAGTACATACCCAGCAGGGGCCACATCGCTCCGCAGCCCTCGGGTCGCCCGCTCACCTCCGCGCCTCGCTCCCTCTGCGCTCTGCCCGGCAGAGCCACGCGCTCCAAAGCGGCGGCGTCCCTCTGTCGGCGCGCACGTGGAGGTGCTCCCCGCGCGCTCCGGCGTCCGGTCTCAGTTTGGAGGCTGTCGGCTGGAGATGGAGCTCTTCCGTCGCGCCCTCCGTCGCCCTCTTCTCTCCAGCCCTTCCCCGAAGTGTTTGAAAGGGGGTATCGTCGAGATACGTACGTCTCTCGTCTCTCCTCCCCGTGCGCTCGCTCGCTCTCTCTGCGCTGAAGTTGTTGCTGACTTAGATTCCTTGTCACCAGAGCCCCTCCGGTGTCTGCCAGGCTGTCAACATTCCCAACGCAAACACATCGGCACCGAGACTTAAGCTCTGATTGATCCCATATGTCTGGCAGGCCGCACCGGACGAAGCAAGGGAGGGGATGAAAAGGGGGAGGGGACTTTAAAAAGAGAGAGAGATGGATGGGTCCAGATACCAGGAGAGCTGCGGTAATTAGAAACACTTTGTACAACAGTAATGCACAGCAGGGGACTCCGGAGGGGGCGATGCGGTGGCGTGTGTGTGTGTGGGGGGGAGCACCTTCTCTTACGAATGCTCTCGCTAGTTGTTTTAAGGGTAAGTGGCTTTGTTTTCTCAAAACTTCAGGGGTCTTTAACGGTTCAGTTCAAAGCTTAGCCAAAAAGATGCTGACCATTATTTCAGCTCTGTGGAGAGCTTTATTATCATGTACTTCTAAATAAATTTTAAAATATTATATTTGAACCAGAGTCTACTCTTTCTTTTCTGCCTAGAACTGTGTGCAGTGCCAGCAAGGAGTCCGCAACATGAAGTACAATGGAGAAAGGGTGAAGAATCTCACCCGACCAAGTATCAGCTGCTGCAACACACCCATATGCCTTTTGGGATGAGAAGGCAGCCCCTCCCATCCATTACTGCAACTGGGTGTCTTCAGTTGTGCTAAAGCAGAAATGTAACATATCTGCAAAGTAACAATTGACATGGGAGTAGCTGAGTAGAAATCACTGCCACAAAGAAAGACCTCCACTTTACTAGGACAGAACTGTGGTGCTTTGATCACTGGCGTCTTCATCCACATTCGTTATTACTTCTGGCCATTGGAGTCAGCGACAATGCAGCTGGGAACTGCCTGTGTTCCAGCATGACTTGCAGGTGTTGGGCAGGCTGATTCTGTCCTTGTCAAGGACGGTCCATCTGGAAACATGGATGGAGAGTTCCATATATGTAACCCTATATATAGTGGAGGAAAAGGACCCTCAAGGGGAACAAAGCTTTCCTAATTGCAAAACATTTTCTTTCCTCCCAAAGGGGTGATAGACGAGACTAGACTAGATTATTAACTACTTCCAATCTACAGAATTCTTACAGAAAGTTCTTTTTCCCCTCCTTTTCAATGGCTATATGAGCATGCATGCCTATCCTTTCTTTTCCTAAATTTTTAACAACAAAACTTTGAATAGTTCCAAAAGTAAGAGGGAGGATGCAGAATGTCTGAAGTACATAGGCATTAAATACAAAGCTGTCAAAATCACAGCAAGAGTGCACAGACATCCATTGCATCAGTACTTTATGATCATGCTCCTGTCCTGTCTCACCCCCCCACCCTTCATCTGAAAGCATTAAGAAGCCCCATAAAACTAGTATGTGGCAGGATGCGCACACACAATGTTTGCATTCCAAGCAATCAAAGTTCTACAGTTTGGCTTCCAAACTCGTAGCTCTGAAAAGCTATCCTCTGTGCCTAGCTTTACTATGCTTTTCATTTCTGTGGAGGTTGCCTGGGAGAGTTCCCAGTTGATCTGGCCATTCATTAGCAAGATGAAACACATGCCCTACAACATTATTAAACAGTTTCACTCATTATAGCTTCATGTTCTGCAATTGCTTACTGTCAGAAAATGACAAGTCTGTGCTGAGAACTACTAACTGTGAAAAAGCAGCAGTTTATTTTAATCTCAGCAACCTCCTCACATGTGTAAAGCTGGAAATCGTGGAGACAATTATAAATTAATCCTCCTCATACAGAGATTAATGAAAATTCATATTTTGCTGGGTGACAGAATTCCCATCCTGCTGATCTTATGGTCATTATATATTCAGCTCTTTCCTATTCAGCCCAATAGGACTGTGTGTCAAAAGGTTGATGGCTCAGTAGGCCATAAGACAAAATATCATTTATATGTATATGCATGATTAGTAAGGCTAAAGGCAACTTATCCTTTAAAAATAGATTGAATTGTAAAACGGCGTATATGATTCTGAAGGATTAAGGAATTCCACAAAGATTGACAAATTCACTTACATGAAGGCAAAGACACAGAAAGGGGAAAGTAGCTAAAAGAAATAAGCTGTGACTATAGAACTCTTTCCATGATAAAACAGGGTTCCCAGTTTCATACAGGCCTCTACTCATGTTCAAATGAAGGTAGGTAGAAATCCCCTGTAGATGTTCTTGCTCAAAATAAGGATGGGGGGCTTCACCCCTTTTCCACAGGGGTCAGCTATTTTTTTATTTTAAAATGAATGCATTTTCTGTCCAGAAGCAGGGCTTGCTTGCTGTTGAATAGGGATAGGGGGTTGGTGGTTTTAAGGGGCTCAGCACTGAATTCTTTTGTTTTTTTGGGGGGAGGGGAATTACTTTCTCCTTTGCCACATTTCCCATGGCAGCCATTTTGTGGTGGTGCCCAGGGCAGTTTCCCAAATTGCTAAATGTGCTGTCTGCTCCTATCCTTATGCATGCTAATAGACCCAATTCACACCCTGCAGCTGAAAAGGGCTACAGTCCCTAGGATACAGTGGTGAATTTTGCTCATGGTCAGCCAATCATGATGGATTTAGTTGCATATTTAGCTATTTCACTGTTTGTTTATTCTTAGACAGTTTCCTTTAGCTCAGTATGTTCAGAAAAAGAGATAAACTAGAAGCTGGGAAGGAAGATGGCATGACAAAATAATGAATGACCATAACTCACTGGGCAAATGCATCCAAGTGACAGATCTTGAATAACTGATTTTTGACTCCAAAACTGTACAGTGCAAAAAAATAAAACAAACTCCACACCAATCATACCATTCCTGAATGTTTATTAAATCCCAGATTTTATTACATTTGTTGGGTACAATAAATCAGTATGAAAATTGGAACTGGAAATTCCTTCATCTGGAAGTGACCTGAAAGGCTGTGTTTTGAAGCTCACATGCTTGGAAGTAAATTTTGCTAGAATTAAGGAGACAAAAGTATTCAAGAACAGCATTAAAAGTATCTTGTGTATATTTTAGGTATATTTTAGGTGTGATTTCTTAGTCTACTCCAGAGATGCAAGAGCCATTGTAGAACCACTCCACCCTGTGGATGCTAGGGCAATGTCAATGAAGAGGGATTCAGTACACCAGTTTCTTCCTATGCTAACATCAATGGCTTGGAAACTAGATTAATGCTGGTTTAGGGAGGAGTCTAATGTGAATTCCTGTGTGAGGTGGAGCTTCTTGCATTGCCCCGGCAGTGAAGGAAGGAGCAATGTAAAGAACACAGTCTAAAATATTTCTAGTGGTGGATGTCCTATTTCACAGAGAACCATCCTCTACTTGAAGATACCTCCTGTCTGAAGAGGTGTTCAGATAAGAAGATGGTATGAAAGGGAAGAAGCAGGGAGCTCAAAGTGCCTCATCCACAGTTTGCATCTGAAGGCAGACCGAGCAGGCACACAGCTCACCTAGTCAGCCCTTCACCACTATGTTAATCCAAATTAGATTTATTTTTAAATGTGTGCACCCATCCATACACATATGCATATGCAAATGTCATCCAAATTGGTGGTTTCTTTAGGTGGTGCATTTTCTTGCATTTGGTGCTGCTTAAGAAGCCAGTCTAGGTGGGTAAATTGTCCTTCATCATTAGATTATGTTGGATTCGTATCCCTTCCAGCTTTATGGGCAAGATGTAGTGAGGAGAGATGGGATATTATTATATGCATATTTACCAAATACAGTAGCTGGAAATATTATAAATGCATATGTGCCAAATGCAGCAGCAAGGGTGAAAAACCAGGTAAAGAGAGGCCTAGAACCCCACCTTGGTATCTGGTAGTGGTTTGGGCACAGCCTATGGCAGAAAATGGCAAAGTGGGTTAAAACAGCCATTGCATCCCTAATTGTGTCTTCTCAAGATTTGCTTTTTCCATGAACAAAGTGGCCATCAGAATTTTAAAGTTGCATGATGTTCAGGATGCCCCTTATAAATCCCAGCTGAATGGGCAATTAACACCAAAAGGGGAAGAATTCGGATACAAGTAGGAAGAATTGATGTGAAATGCGCACTTTGAATGTCTGCCTACTTCTTAATTAAATTAGTCATCAGATTCACCAGAGATTGTCCTCCTTCTGTTCAAGCCACTGAAAATAACAGAACTGCAAGCTTGCTGTAACTTCCAAGAAGAGCTTAATTATTTTCAGCCACAGTTTTAACGTGCATTGATTTGGTGCTGACTGAATTATACAGAAAATAGCTACTTTGCATTCAGATGCACAAGAAGTAGCACACACCTTCAAATTTGTTAGTGATGGATTGCAAAGGTGATGTTCAATCCATTTGAAATAGCACCCCAGAGAAATTATATAGCATAATTCCTAAAATGTAAATAGGCTTGTGACTCATTCCTCTGATACCAGAATTGCTAAGAGT